AAATTATAATATTGTGTATTTTTTCATTTCTGATTCCGATTAACCTTATTGATTATAGAAGCCAGCTAGACAGGAAACAGCGAGGCACTTACGTAATTCCGTCTTCTTCTTCTTTTTAAGCGTGAATTAGTTGTCAGACCTTTTACGCAAACAGTACGTGGAACACCCAACCGGAGTATGTCACAGAGAAAGACGTACTGTCGTTTTATGACTTGATGAAAGCTGTAGATACGAAGAACGAAACTGCATAAAAATCAATGTTCAGAAGGTAAGGAAGGTCTTTCTTAACGATCCATGGAAGAAATAGTAATATCGATACGGTAAATTTGACGATGCTTGTTCAAAGTGGTCTTCCTGAAATTTTTTTTCGTTTACCGGAACTAGATGAGTTGATCCTGAACATCGCAGAAATGCCATTTGCAAGAACCGACGCAAACGTGTTCAACATTTTCAAAAGTACAAAGTGCAAAATCATACATTTACTGGATTTTAAACGTCTCCAAATCATTTGGGTAGAGTCAAAAAAATTTTATTGGGGGTTCAAATCTTCTCTGCAGAAGCCTTGACAATATATGTTTCGCGTCTTTCAGCATAATTTAAGCTTAAGTTATCTAGATTTCACCAGGAGAAATTTGACCGAATTAAATTTGCAAAAAGTGAAAAGAATTGCGCTATATACCGGACTTTTTCCTGTCCATAGCTCTTTTCCTTTGTGAAAGCCTTCCTGTTACCTTTAAGATCTAAGTGAAAAATCTTTAGGACGATCGATTACTAATTAATAAACCTTCTAGCTTCTCAGAGTTCGGTTACGGAAAGGTCCTTTGACGAATTTGGCTCATGACCAAAACTGACTTTTCACCCTTGGATGGCAAAGAGGGGTCCTAGTCCTGTTTCACGTACAAACTTCATAAAATTGCTGTGTCAAGAATTAAAAAGGAAAATTTTTAATCTCACCTTACCTTGTCTTTCTGTAAAACACACGCGTCAGCTATTAATTTTGGGCCCAATCAAGCAGCTCGTATAAACCTTTGGTCACCTTCTAAAGAGACGTCTTGGCCCACTCTACTTAATCGACAGATAAGGAGATTAGCGTCTTTACTGACAAAATGATGACTAATATCTGACTTAGCAACGTTAAATTAAAAAGGCGCTCCCATTTATTCTCAAAAATACAAGTTTTGTCAATTCAGTTTGCCCCAAAATGTCTGTTAAAAAGATGTTTTAGTTTCTTGACGGAACCATCTTCCGTCTTCCTGTCTGATTTTTTTTATCGCGATTACACCTACGACTCTAATCTCTTATTAAATACTATGATGACTCGGCTTCGAAGAAGCCATCCTCGTATAATTATCCAGTCCATGTTAAATTAACTCTACTGATCAATGGTTATATCACCTACTGGTAAGTTTAGAAAAAGAGTTCACCTGCCTGTCCCACTTCTACGTGTCACTATGAATTGATTGACAAATGAATGAGATGCGATTGTCGGTCGTATAACTAAGCTGTCAGTCGTATAATTAAGCTATAGGTCGTGTAACTAAGCTGTCAGTAATTTGTAGTATTAATAGCTTTTTTGACATTGAAATTGCAAGGACTGGAAAAGTGGAGCTTATTAACAGATCGCGATCCCAAAGATTCGGCTGCTTACAAAGACGCTTCCTGATACATGATTATTTGAAAAGAGTGTAGAGATAGCATGGTAAGTTTTTGTCATGACTGTAGATTTGAAGTTGCCAAAAAACAAAGCTTATGTACAGCAGTGACTCATTTTGAATAACAACTGAATCAATTTATCTAGCATCGATAGTGAAAACGAAAATGATGCATTTAGTGTACGATAATTCATCCGGTAAAACGAAGAGGCACATATTCGATCAGATAAAAATTTACAAGAAGAGACTTCACAGAATTTATTTAAAATGATGTTTTCATATCCGGCCGTTAATGAACTTCAACTTTTGAATTTTTAATTAACGGCTTTTTTCCTAGGCGTATACGATCCTTTCTAAAAGACAGATATTTTATAAGCATTCAACTTTAAGCAAGAGTGAAATTAACATCAGTTTAATTCAAACACACTTTCTGGTGTTGTCCTTGACAACAAACGGGCTGAAGATATGTCTTTTAGACAATTACGTAAGTTACCTTTTAGGATGGCAACTATGAAGGAAATTGCATTATTACATGTTTGTCGACACAGCCATACTGATAGTCTCCTTTGATGCCTCTCTTTGGAGTGTCACCCAACACTCCTCACTAAATATTCTTTTATAGGGGAAGGCGTTGCGTTACATCTGATAGGACGGTGTACGACTGAGGAGTAAGCAGCCGATGAGTCTCTTTATGAATAAACAATTCCTCAAGTATTTTACCTTTTTTAATCGAAAGGACATTTGAATATTTAGCTAGCTGTGTCTCTAAATAGTCATTATTATGGGAAATGAGTTACAATCATTGCAAAACGAACGATGCACGCGTTTTTTGTGGAAATTACTGATCTGATCGTAGATTAAACTTGATAATTAGACGCTTAAGTGTTCTCTTGACGCCATGGCAGCCCCAATCAGCAGAAATCTACGAATTTACACATTAGATAGTCGCTAAAGAACTAAAAATGAGTTGGAGCTAAAATTTTGCAACGCCTATGAAAGCATCCGTTGCCCCACAAATAGCCTCGAGCTAAACAGATGGTTAATTTCTCAAATGTAACGTTATTGTTAAGCTAAAGAGTTTAGAGCGTAGGATACGCGAGCACAGTCTATGATGTCTAATAACTTAGTACTTTACCGTTTCTCATCATTAAACTTATTTTTATTTTTTTTTTTTGTGGCAAAGGACTCAGCCATTCCCATGTAAGGTAATCTATTTGGAAAAAGCATGTTTAAATCATGAAGTTTATGCCCTGTTCTCTCAAAAGAGCTGACGAGTCCTTGTGACAGCAGTTTTCAGTTGAGTTTCAAACTCATTCTATTAGTGTCAACAAAAAGGTGGAGTAACGAGGAGAGGGGGCGGGGATTGAAAAGGGAAGGTTAAATTTCTTGTAACTCGAGGCGTAAATTTTAAAACCGCCGCCTGAAATTAGCTTGGCATACTATCCACACACTTCTTAAGTTTTAACAGGGTGCCAATATATACAAAAGAAATAGAGCTGGTGCTCTTATGGTTTGGAGACAGACCAGCTTATGAGTTTGTGATCATTTGAATTTGTAAATATGGAAATGTTGATTAGTTTTGTTGTTAGCTTTTTAGTGAACACAAAATATCGCTGGAGCGCTTCCATTACAGTTCCTTCAATTATGGCTGTGTTCACTTTATGTAGAACTTGAGAAATCTGAAAATATTTATTGCTAACTAAGCAGATCTTTTGAAACGTTTATTACAAGTTGTTTTGACGATTTGATCACGCACAGAGAAAGGAAGTTTTATAACTGTAACCTTCTACTGTGTACGTCAGCCTATCGACGTTTTGAAAACACGAATATAAACAATCGATTTTACTCTAACTGGAGATTTGTATTCGAAAACGTGATGTTTTGAAGAACCCCGTCGCGTGTCAGACTTGTGATAAACGCAGGGGATATGCGCACCAAAACGGAAGAAAAATTAAATCGTCGCCCGAGAAAGTAACACAAACCTATAAAGAGTGCTGACAGGCTCTCTGTGAAAATGTCAAAAAATGCAAACGTCGTGAGGTGTTAGTAATAATTATTCCTCGGCATAACAAAGCACCTGCCGTTTGTTGGCCAAGCCAGTTTTTTATTGCGCACGGAGCGAATGAAAATCTTTCCGATATCATTTTCCGGTGAATAATTAAACGTACCTCAAAACGTTTACTCTAATTTCACCTTTCTCTCTCAATAAGGATATTCTATAAGGAACTTAAAACCGGGAAACATTGCCGTACAAGCCCTAAAACAAATTGGTAAGTACTTACTGCTTTAAAACCGGCTTTTTCACGGATCTGTTTTTCAGAATATTTTTGTAAGTACCATGAAAAAAAAAACCAATTAAAGCTATCTAAGAATCGTCTCTTATTTTGTTCGTATATTTTCTTCGCTATAAGAAGAAGAACAGAGGAATAATTAAAAATGAGAAAATAACTGCAAATGTAACACTAGAGAGCAATGAGTTCGATTGAAATTTTTCAATCAACTAAATCGTTCTCTAAAAATTCATCCTGTTATTTGATAATCATATATACGCATGATATCTTCCGAAAAAAAAATTTACTCTGATTAAAAGCATAATTATATTTTCCAGATTTTCTCTTTGTGGTCAGTAAACATTTGCTACCAACTATTGGGAAAAAATATTAAAAACTATACGCTTTTATTTCACAATAATATATTCGTTTTGCTAATAATTAAAATGGAAGAGGAAAAACTCCTAACAAGTTGACACTTTGTTGGGAGCCGCGAACAATACTTAAACAACGAATCACTATAGAAATTGTCGTCTGTTATTGTCTGTGAAGATTGTAAGGTCACTTGCTTTTTAATCTTTTCCGAATATTTAATTCTGGTATACGAATCATCATTCACAATATTTGGTGAGATTTTTTTTCATGACAGTCGTGAGCATATGTTGATTAAAGAATCTCATGCCACATGGAAATCGTTGAATTGTTGATTAACAGGGACATCGCCAAAAGCTGCCTGAACAAACACTACTCAGCTCGACAGCTCGCCTAACATATATAAATTTTGTATATTTCTCCCATGTGTTTTATTTTGCAAAAAGCTCAGCAATCTCCTTGCAAAGTGTAAACAGAACTTATACCAGACTAAACAAAGGCGATTTTGAAATGATCTCGTCAATTCTAATCAATCAATATATCCGAAAAGCTTTCTTCCTCGATCTAAACTAATTCGAGTGAATTATCCTTCTCTTATATAAGGGATGTCAATTTGAGAAAAGGTTTCTTTAGTTTTAATCACTAGTTCTTTAATTTTCTGAATAGATTTTACCAAAATTGTTCGTTTTATTCTTGGAAAAATGGTATTAAAACATGCCAGATTACAGCTGAATAAATCATGGTTGTATTATTAATGGTTAAAAAAAATTCCATGGCAACATTATGTACTCTTAAAAACACCTTTAAGTTTGTAACTTAATTTTTTTTTTGCAAAGTCTAAAAATTTGCAACGTTGAGTCAGAGCAAGAGAAAATACCTCATTATTTCCTCAAGGCCAGAGGCATCATAAATTAATGATCAATTTAGGAGGCTCTAAGGCAACACATTTTTTCAAAGTTTTGCATAAAGATGAATTTTTACTACAGAAGTTAATATGAAAACTGCCGCGACTGGCTTTCGAGTTTGCTCAACTATCGAGAAATTTAACCCACCCCTAGCCCCCCCGAGTGTTTTAGATGAGGTTTAAGGCTTTGTAAACGCGAAAACCACGCGTATCTAAAACATAACAAACACGTTTACACGCTCTCGTCAAAACACGTCTATAAATCAATAACAAGAGAGTGCGCACCGTCAGTTATCAGTGGGTTATCTTTTGAAAAATAAAAAGTTTATCTGAAAATATCATTACTATTTCACGAGAAAAGAGAAATTCTTACAAAATGGGACAACTATCATCATTGAGTGCAGCAGATATCGCTAAGTACGAAACAATTTATCACGGGAAAGTTATTATTTTCCTTTAATTGGCGTGAAATGACGAGGAATTGAATTTCTCGTCATTTCACGTCAAATAAATGGAAATCTTTTTGGGTTTTAGGTAGAAAGACACTAAGGCGCCAATTATTACTCTCCACGAACAGGCATGATCAAGATATTAATTTTGAAATGATCACTGGCAGAAATAATTTTAAAACCTTCTTTTCGAGTAGTAATAGCATTACGTAGATAAAAGAAAATACAGAAAAATAGCAGCACCATTACCGAAGCTTCTTTCATGTGCACCGTTTTCAAATCGTTGAACTAAAAAGGATCGTCAATGGTAATTTGATAATATAAAAATAAATTAAATAAAATTTTTAAAATATCGAGAGTATGGCAAACGCCAAATAATGGTTACGGAAAATCTATTATTTGACACTACCACGAATTTAAAGCATCCATTGTATTAGGAGGCAGCGTGTCTCTATAAACAATTCTCTACAATTGTGTGAGCGAGCCAGTTCAAGATTCCTGTGTTTTAGCAATCGAAATCTTTTTGAGAAAAACAGGAAACCGACAGCTCCTTAACGATCAAACATTTTCGTACAGTGGCAAGCTGGAGGGTCGAAGTAGACCGAACAATTTCATCCAGTAGTCACGCATGTCGAAAAGCCGTGCGCTTGTTTGATCGTTTGGTAATCCGTCTTAAATGCGGCAAACACCATTTGGAACGAAAATGTTGAATGGTTTAGCCAGGGGCTAAGGAAGAGTCAATGACAAAAATGCTGGTAAGAAATGCGCTTAATTTGAAGAAACATTTCTTTTTCAAGAATCCTTTTGCAAACTCAAGATAAGCAAACGGCCTTAATTTGTTTCTATCTAAACAGGTTCATTGACATGTCATTTTTGTCTTGATTTTCAGAGCGCAACGCATTGTTGAGAACAGCAATTTCCGAACAGCCAAGACTTAAAAGATCATGATATGACTGCTTCCACGCCTTCAGGCTTAAAGCTGTGCTTGAACCATACACGCTAATCAGCAATCATGTCTGAGCAAAACTCAGCCTTACCTAACTTAACTACATCTCCACCAACGACTCAAGCCAGGGATGGAGAATCAATAGATTCTGATGACGCGACATGGATTCTGACAAGTGCCTTCATTATTTTCACAATGCAGTCTGGCTTCGGTCTCCTCGAATCCGGCATGGCGTCAAGAAAAAACGAAGCTAACATCATGGTCAAGAACGCAGTTGATGTCATCTATGGTGGATTGTCCTATTGGCTTTTCGGGTTCGCGCTCAGTTTTGGAAAAGAGCAAATTGGGAATGGCTTCCTCGGCTTGGGATATTTTCTGACGGACGCAGACGAAAGCGAAATGGGGCAGGTGTTCTCAAAATATTTTTTTCAACTCTCTTTTTCTACGACGGCGACAACAATTGTTTCCGGAGCAATGGCGGAAAGAACAAACTTAAAAGCCTACACACTTTATTCGTTTTTGAACACTTTGACTTACACCCTCCCAGCTCACTGGATTTGGGCTGACAATGGCTGGCTTCGGAGAATGGGGGCCGTAGACATCGCCGGCTGCGGAGCAGTGCATTTAGTCGGAGGTGTTAGTGGTCTGGTGGCGACGATAATATTGAAGCCTCGAACGGGAAGATTTGACACAAATTCTCCGCCACTGCAAATGGCCTCTCCGACAAATGTTCTCCTGGGAACTTTCATGTTATGGTGGGGCTGGTTGGGTTTCAATTGTGGCAGCACATTTGGAATAAGTGGCAAGAAATGGAAACTTGCTTCAAGGTACAAATATTCCCGTGTCTCTAAATAAACATTTATCCAGACATGTTAAATACATTCGTACCTATATACCGCAAACATGATAATTTTCTCCCTTCAAAATTTGACAGTTATCTCATATAATGTAGTGTAATAACGGATTAGTCATATTTTTATCGCCTAGAAGAGGTCGGTGGATTTTGGTCGTGTCTCTACGATTTACAGTCAGGTTTTTTCAGCCCCCCCCCCCCCTTTACACTCTGTTGGCGACGACTGATTCCCCCCTCCGTTCCCCCTCGGAGCCATGTGATTTCCACCCCCAAAAAAAATCTTCTGGGGGGGCCCCCCCTCCCCCCAAGCGATGATTGTTCTCTAATCACCTACGTCTGTAGGTAGAGGGAAGATGAAAATATATTGTATTTTTCGCGTATAAAGTTTAAATCTTCCCAAAAGTTTATAATCAGTCGTTTTTACATCTCGGTGTATTTTATCAAACAGGTCAGCTGTAGTTACAATCAACGGCTCTATTGGCGGAGGGATAATGGGCATGATGTACAGGTAAATGAATACCGATAAATGTGCCAAGAACACGCCTTCAGACGCCGCCATTTTGAAACCAACTAGGTAACCTGGCTGCTCATGCAGTCCCACAACGAGCAATTTACAAACAACTGCTGCCCTTTTTATTGCAAACATATTAATAATTCATTATTTGATTCAAGAATTCCTTTTTTTTGTAGCTCCTAATTGTACAAACGGGTTATTAAGAGACGGAAAAAAGAGGGTGATAAATCGTAACGCCGCAGGTACGCGGCTTGGCTGTTTAGAAAAAATTTAAAATGGCGGCGGTTAGATCACTGGTTTCGTCTGAAAACTCGGTCAGCTAGTGTTACAGTCTTGATATTAATTTTTGATGGCGGAGATGATAATTATGTGGATACTGGAGCGTGCTTCATCGCAGGAGGAGTTCAGTCCCTTGGCCTGATCCTCTGCCTTTGAATCACTAGTTGATCTAAACTTTCATACAACCAATAAGAAGCCCTGTGTTATTATTTTTTTCAGCTACATTTTCTTCAAAAAGAAGTTAGATATTCCGACGTTTGTGACGGGGATTTTAGCAGGGCTCGTCAGTATTACAGGTATTTGTTTTTAAAACTGATAATCTACAATGAACTCCAATGGAGGCTCAATCTTATTAAAAAACAAACAAACAATAACAAAACAGCAAGACAGTGAGGTTTGAAATGCTTCATGATTTCACAACTGTAATGCTAGAACTTGGCCAATCACAATGTGAAGCTTACAGGTGTATATGATTTCTCTCTGACAAGATGAATTTAAATTAGAAATTTGACAATAGAATAAATTACGACATTTGACAAAACAAACATGATGGAAACAACCTGCTTTACCTCGAGAAGCTCTGGCGGTACTATTAATGTGACTCAAGTCTTGGAGTTATTTTCCAGGATACCAGCGGATAAGTCTTTGAAAATTACCATTAGACATGCAAGAAACTTGTAAAATTTAAGATTTAATCATGTTCGCATAGTCGTTAAAAAGGTTAACACTTTTGCAAATGAAAAATGATGTAATTAAATCCTTGTCCTTTATGCTCTGCTCAGCTATCTGTTCCCTCGCTCGCCCATGGGAAGCTCTTCTTATTGGTGCAATCGGCGCCATGTTGGCATGTCCCACATCCGCTCTTCTTGAAAGGCTCAAAATCGATGATCCTGTCAGCTGTGTACCTACACATGGCTTGGCAGGGATCTGGGGCCTATTGGCTGTTGGCTTGTTTGCTGAGAAAGACATACTGGAACGTACATTCTCCAACGAGTTTGGACTCTTCAAAGGTGGTCCTTGGAAATTCGTGGGAGTTCAATTGCTTATGTCCGTTGTAATGGCTGCGTGGGCCGGTCTCACAACATTACTAGAGCTACTATTGGTCGATCGGCTGCTTGGACTTCGCATGAGCGTTGAGGATGAGCTACTGGGCGCTGATAAAGTTGAGCATGGAATTGACGATGACATTCCCGACCCGAATCACGAGGAGAAAGAAAGGGAAGGAGACAACAACATGACAATAGTAGAACTGGATCTAAGCGCCTTGGAAAAAGGTGAGATTGGCACCACTTTGTCCAAAACAGAGAACGGAGGGAAAGATTCGCGCAAAATAATCCGTACCCGAAGGAAACTCCCTCGACTGAATTGGCGAAGAGCTGTGTCACTGAGAAGCTCTGCAACCAAGAACTCTGGCAAGGGTACATTTTCATTAAAAGACGGGTATAGTAACGGCGGCGTAAGACTTGACGTTATAACTGAGCTTGCTCAAGAAAACGGAAATCTGCCGACTTCCACGACGAACAGTAGTGTTTTTCATACAAGCTAAGACTAGAAACAGAAAACTTAAAAGCGGAAGTGAAGGAGCTGCTTTTTAAACCCCGTTGTCTGCTTTATTAAATTTAGGAGAACGTTTTCCAATCAAACAGTTCGTACAACTACGAATTAAAATAAGTAAATAGACAAATGAATAAAGAAGAACGTTTTGTCTATCGGGGGCTGAATGTTTTAATCAAATAAATCCTTTAACCTCAAAGGTCCGACTTAACATAAAGCTAAAAATTAAAAATACAAGGGTTATAAAAGCTCGAGAGGGCTGAGCTGTAGTCAAAAAAGCTCAATATGAATTTTGTTTTGGTTTGTGATATTTGGAGCTGAACCTCACCCATTTCTCCTAATGAAAGCCTTGGACCAACGCCTTATTGGGATGGATAACCTTATTGATTATTGACATATGGGGGTAGCTTGTCCCAAACGCTTCTTTGTAGGTGGGTGGGCAGGGTCTCACTGAATAACACCTTTGGTGATGTGAACTTCCTGGATTAATAACATTACTATTATTATTATTATCATCTTATTATAAGGCGGTATAATCAAAGGTAATTTGGAATTGTATCGGTTTGATTTCTCGACGCTCTGTAATTGTAATCAATTAAAAAATTACGTGCCAAATATTCGACCAATTAAATTTGGTGACATGACCTTCTTTGAGTCCTCATTAGCTCGTTTATACTATGTGTACATCTTAGTTTGAAAGGTCTCGATTGAAATCTGAAGCTTGCATTTACGAAAAGGTTTTTAATACCAGAAAGCCTTTTTGAAATTAAAACGGGTTGAGACTAGTTACACTTCTACTTCAAGCGTTTATTAAAAATTACCTAGTTAATTGCTCGCCACAGAAATGTCACATTCAAATATCAAAACAAAACAAAAAACAGTTTATCAAAAAGTATGCGCTGATTAGTCAACAATTAACTGTCAAAGCTTTGAGAAACTCCAAGACATATTCACGACCTTTCGTCTAGCATAATGGTGGCCTCTTTTAAACTTTTTCGACCGCCAATTCTTGACTCTGGATGCCACTGTGCTGAGAGGAAGAGTAAGGCAATCGCACGGTATCCTCTTCAGAAAAAAGTCTGTCTCTTTCAAACGTCAGACATGAGAAATCATCGCCTTCGTTTGCAAAGATCCCATGTTCCCATTTGTCAGCACCATCGAGCTCCTTCTCACCTGACATGCGCAAACAGGTTAACTTATCAATAGCATAAAGCTCTAAAAATGTAGTGATTAGTGTCCACGATGCAATGGTGACAGCGGTAAGTATTTGAACACCCAGGACTCTCCAACTGCCTCCCTTAAAAACATCATAGTGCTTGGACATCAATGGGTCCCTCTCCACAACAAGTCCCACCACTACGATCCCCCATAGGCCAGTGATGCCGTGTGTTGAAATACAATGTACCGGATCATCAATGCACATGCGTTCGAGGAGGATGTTGCCAAAACAACCAAACGCGCCTCCAATAAAGCCGATCAGTACACTTTCCCATGGAGTTACAACAGGACAAATGGCTGAGAAATGAAATATGGAAAATAAAATACAAATAGAGATATATTGCCTACCAAGCATATGAAAATACAACAGTTTGTCACCTTTCACTCAGTATTACACTCTATTTGCATCTTTGTTAAGATGGGGGGGGGGGGGGGGGTGGATGGGTCGTGGCACACCAATAAGACTAACCTTACAGAATTATCATAATTATTTACTATGACACGATAAAACAAAAGATGGTCATGAGGATGAGCGCTCTACACTCACCCACCACCCCTTAGTCTTGATTGAAATTTTGCTCACCTACCCTTCCCCTAACCCTGACTTGTTATCCGTTGACTGATGTTGGGTTAGGGGACGGGTAGGTCGGTGCGCTGTTGCTCCGAATGCTGATACTGATCCCCAATTTTTTTTTGTTCTCACCTGTAATGCTAACGAGTCCAGAAATAATGCCAGTTACAAAAACATCAATAAGGAGCTTGTTCTTATATTTCAGATAGCTAAAGAGAAAAAGAAAACATGCTTAGACAGTGTTAGAATGTGATTAGCCATTTAATAATCATAATTGGATGAGGTTGAGCATGATTTCGAGAATTATCGAGGTGGAAGCTGTTTTCAGCTGTTGAAGCCGTACACTGAGGTGGATAACGCAAGACGAGGCCTTGATAATCCTTCTCTATCATGCAGACATTGAATCCCAAAATCGTTTCCTGACGTGATTATAATTTTGTCGTTGGTTTAACAGTTCCAACGCATGCATATATATATATATATATATATATATATATAATCATCTATAAGCATGAAATACAGCTAGGATTAGTTGCGTGCTGGTAGCCAATCTGAACGATCAGATTGGTAAAAAATGTTGGTAGTCATCAAGAGGGATGGTTTGTTTGTCAGCATCTATCATCTGCAAAATCACTTTTCTCACCTAAACCCTGTTGCAAAAATTCCTCCACCGATTGCACCGTTGAGCGTAACGACGGCAGCTCTGCAAATAACAAAGACTTTTTTCATGGTTAAAAGTTCCTAAAGGCCCTTGGCACTTGACCGTGGCAAAGAAAAAAAGGAAAGCATGTCATCACATGGTGCGCACGTGCACCACAAAAGCCAAAGACAGAACAAATTACAAATTGCCCTCTCTACTCTATTTACATGTACGACACGAAACGTGGTCTCCACCAAGGTATCTTTTATACGATTCGATCGTAGCGGATGTATTAAATGCGTCACGCTTTACCTATTCTATTACTATACGAACCAGAGACGTAACGAAAGGGATGTATATGTCACTGACCTGGATACAAGCTTCCACTTTCCTCCTGTGATCCCAAACGTGCTTCCACAGTTGAACCCAAGCCACCCCCACCACAGCATAAACGTCCCAAGCATAGCATTGGTCGGAGAAGCCATTATGTTAGGCCTAGGGCGATTATTTTCGTCATATTTGCCCAAGCGAGGCTTAAGGTAGAGCGTGGCTACCAAACCACTAAAGCCGCCGACGAGATGTACCGGACCGCAACCAGCCACATCTACGGCGTCAAGCTCATAAAGCCAGCCTTTCGGTTCCCACATCCAATGTGCTGGTAAGGAATACGTCAAGGTGTTGATGAACGAGAACAAAATGTAGGCTTTAAGCTCGACTCGCTCCGCCATCGCCCCTGAGACGATCGTGGTCGCAGTTGTGGAAAATGACAAATGGAAGAAATACTTGGCGAACACGTGACCCATTTCGTCATCATCTGCGTCGGTGAAAAATTTACCACAGCCGTTGAAAGCTGTCGTTCCCTCATCCCGGCCAAAACTGAGACCGAATCCAAACAGCCAATAGGCGAAGCCGCCGTAAATGACATCAACAGCGTTTTTTACCATGATGTTCGTTTCATTTTTCTTGGATACCATGCCTGCTTCGAGGAGACCAAACCCCGACTGCATGGTAAAAATAATAAACGCTGACGTCAGAATCCACGTGGCGTCATCTGATTGGATCTCTTCGTAATGGAGCGGAGCGTCATACGGCGTTGACATCACACCACGAAACGCCGCTGACACGAAAGTGATGTTCGAGTGATTCATACTTTCTATTAATGCAACGGTAAGGAAAAGCTAAGAATGACATCGCATAAGGTTCTAAAATCTTAAATAAAACCTCTATCGGTTAGAGGCTTACTGCAAACGCTCTTAAATGCCCTCTAGCATATACAAAGAAACTAAATTATCGTTTTTTTTTTCCATCTTGCGATGCTTTCTTTAGCACCTGCTGTTAAATTATATTTTGGATAAATTGTATTTATCTAGAACTTGCTAAATGTTGGTATTTCGTAAACCACTTGCAAGCAATTTAGATCGGTGCATCTTTGCTGTAAATTCCCGTTTTTGCTTACATTTTCTTGCAACAGGAAAGTGCAATTTATAAAATTTAAAATCTTTTATAATTTTCAGCAATTACTCTAAATCCCTGTAAAATGTCTTTATGATAGACCAAGGCTTACGGAAGATTAAAACTGTTCCCTGGATGAATCTAAAGCTGATTTTCGAAGCTCTCATGTCCGCCCAATTTTAGGTTATATTTTTTAATCGATTTATCCCATATCATTGTAACATCTCAAATGCTTTACCTCAAGATGTCTATGTAATGTTCGGCTGGCAAATGAGACAAAGTAATTGTCTACTGCAAGGCTTAAATAAAACTATTAAGTAACATCCTTTTTTTGAAAAACCAAAATGGGATCTTGACAAGTTATAAAATGTAGCTGAGCGTATTTCTTTGTGCTAAGAATACTCTCGGTACTGTGTTATTTAATGGAAATGGAAAACATATGCCTCCAATTTACAGAGCGCCGATCCATTAGAGAATATTGCCTGAGGTCTTACACGTAAAAGCGGATAAAAATCCCATTTGAAGGCCACAAAATCTGCCTCTCACCTGGCGTTGGGTTTTTCTAGAATGAAAAATGCTTTTTAGCTGCTAATGCATTGTCTGACTGCACGAATGTAGTAATGTGGTGAAGAAAAAAGTTTAAAGGCTATCATTACCTCATGAGAACCTTTTGTCGTAACAACGTCGGCTTCGTTAAAGGTAAGAATCGAAATGAGAGGAATGGTGATGGTTATAAAAATAAACTCAGAAGTGAATCATAATTTATTGATGCAGTAAAAGCTGTCTAAATTAACAGAATATCATTTATCAGCGAGATGTGTCTTCCTAAGTCAATAATACTCGTGTGCTCCGTGGCTAAGAGTGAAATTTTGCTAACGTCTGTTGATTTTCAGTCTTCCTTCCTGGTAAAACGCCATCTTACATTTCCCTGGTCTCCGGTCAGTGCCTGATTGCTAGTTGAAAATGAATAAATCTTGAAGCAATACCCTGTAATTGTGATTTTAGAGAGATATAACGGAAGCCTAAGAATCAGAAATTGATAATTGAGAAAACCTTTCGCTCTCATAGTTATCTAAGGATTGCAAGTGAACTTAAGATGGGCCAACCTTCTTTAGTCGAAACTTGCGAAAATGAACTTGAGTAGTAAAATGTTTTAGAACTGATAGCAATTAAAAATATAACCTTACTGAGCAAAGAAAAAAAAACAAAACAAAACAAAGCTGTCATCATTTTTCTAGAACATTTAACAGTGGCAGCACACCTGCTCAAAAAGGAGTGTTTTTTAACGGCGTATCTGACATCCCAACATCCAGTCGAGTAACTACGACAACCAAATATCGGCTTCAACAAAGAAAGCCTACAATGATGGTTGCCGAAATAACAACAGGACTTAAATCCGTTGTGAACCATTCTCTGACACCTACAATGAGTCATTGTCAGAAATGTGCCCTTGATAATCCTTTTCGAGCGCGTTCAGCCTGCTTTGATTAGTTTCTTTTTGTTATGGTCGGATCGTTTTTCCAAGATAATTACTAGATTCTTTTGTTCTAAAAAAAAATTAAGAAATAACTGTTTATTCCTTTACTCCAAGTCTGCATATATTGACCTTGTGTTTATTGGAAATAATTACCGCTCCTGCAGCTGAATTGGGTTGAACGGCTGGGAGACGTTCAAATGGCGACCTGGTTAGAAAGATCATTTCTTCTCAGGCTTGTTCGTGAGTATAATATTGTGTCTTTGTATATTCAGTCCTTTTGGCATTTTGTGGACCTCGATTGTGAAATCATCAGTGATGATAATTCAACATTTCAAACTAATCAGTTCTCGTGCGGACTTTCACTCTCTGGCCGCCAATTATATGACTACCTTTCCACAAAATGATATTTTCCTGGAAACATTCGCCACTTGCTCTCGGCTTTAAGTTGTTAAACTTCAATCAGCTCGAGTGTGTTACAAAGTAAGAAACAGGCTTAATTCCTGTTAGCTGTAAAACCGGGGTTCCATACGATCGTGACCAGGATTGTGAGGAATAACGGTAATAGCTTCTAATCCTGTGAAAAAAGTACCGTGACATCCGCACAGCATTTCAATGCATGACCGGATGTACTCCTCCGTTTAAATTTCAATTCGGTACGTACACAAAATCAGTGTTAAGAACTCAGTGATCAGTCTTTTAATTAAAAACTACATCCCTTAATTTATAACGCAAAGCTACTAATGATGGACCAAGTTGATTTTCTTTCAATTAAAATCGGTAAAAAAAAAAAAATTGGAGGAGGTCGTTAAAACTGTTATAACAATCATTTCGCGAGTACTTTGGTAATCAATTATTGATTCACCGAGTCTCGGAAGGCCACCACACATTTATCTCCAGTACATCGTTTCCCAGGCGAGCGGAAAAAAGAGCGAGACGTGCACGAAGCGTGGGTCAAAAGCGAGAAGAGAAGCTTGAAAACTTGTGTGCGTCCCTCATTCGTACATCCATCCTTTGCGCTTGCTTTGCACTAAATTCATACCGACTGTAAAACACACACAAAAAGGAACATTTTCTGTTGGCTACCAGTGCGTTAGCATCTTGATAGATTTATGAGAATATGAGCGCCTCGCTCCATCCTATTTCTTCGACTCACTTCATATGCTTTCAATCACTAAATTTATAAACTGGTAGATTTTATGAGTCATTTTGATATAAAACTTTTTTCACAGATTTCTTTAACCTGCTACGCATCTTTGTTTTAAGCGGTGAGTTGAAAATAATTATTTGTTAAATACTTTAATACCAAATAGATTTTATGCTGCCTTGGGTCTGTTCAGTAATTGATCACATATGACATCAAAATAAGGCAGGAACAAAACAGATCCTTACCACATTTATTAGTCGTCTGTGATTTATTACTGTACAGACCCACGGAAACTTGGATTCAATTTGTTTTATGTGATAACGAAGAATTGGTGGGAAAAAAAATTAATAGTAACGTTATCCTTGCGTCTATCCTCTATGCAATGGATCAAAAACAAGAACCAGTCAAAATACGTGTATAATTCAGCTTATCATATAGAGGATGTTAACACTTTGCAACGACTTATTGAAAACTAAACGGGTCATAAATCATTACTTCTTAAACATTTTCATTGTTCTCGTGTTTATGTTTTTTTGTGCTTTGTTTAACTGGAGGATAGTTTTCGAGGTCTAAACAACGAACAAATGCAAACAAACAAGTCAAATACCTGATGGTACCGGTCCCTCAAGGCCTCTGTCATCTTATCTACATGAACTGTCTACGTAAATGTACTACGGTCCGAAATTAATGGAATGCGCACCCACCCCTCCCTCAACCCAAGAATGGTCAAATGATAACAAGTTAGAGTTAATGCTGGATTAGGGGAGGGGTGGGTGGGAAGTTGCTCAAATACTAACAGATCCAAACAATGAATAGTTTTATCCTCTTCTTACAGAAACAAGATGCTCCAGAAACAAAACTTCAAATCTGAACAATAACATATTTTTGACTAAATCATCTGACACATTTTGTAGCCCTGATTACGACACTTCTGAAGCCTATCCCGGAAATCTAACCTGTACATGGGTTATTTCTCTTCAAGAGAAGAGGATAAAGCTTTCTTTTCTAACATTTGATCTTCAAAACGCCAGTCCTGCTTGCCAAGATTGCGATTTTGTGTCGGTTCGGGACGGGAAATACTCAAATAGTCCAGTTATTGGAACGTTTTGTGGTAGCAGAATACCTAATGACGTCCTCTCAACCGGAAATCACATGTGGATTCACTTTCGTTCAGACGGGTCTGTGGAGAAGCGAGGCTTTAAGATGTCATATACCACATATGATACTTCGAATGGTAAGTTAGTTCACTCAATCATATCCCACCTGAGACGGCGGGCAGGCGGCAGGCGGTTATGACCTAACAAGCCTTGGTCGAAGCGGATTTTTTCGGTGGAGCAGTCATATAACTTTCCACCATTTTTTACCTCTAAGTTTGCTAGAAAGCATTAGACACAGGTTCGCGTTTAAGAAAATCGTACGTAGCCTACAAAAAAATCAATACGACCCAGAACCGCGTTTGCGCTTTTGCCTTTTCCGCATTCAATGGTGACACAACCAAAATCCTGAGACCCTTCTCAGGCGATAAATAAAGATCGGCCCTTAAAAGTAATGCTCTAAGGTGTACTTCACCTTTAAGAATATCTAAAAGGGTCTTCTAAGCATGGCCTGATGTGAATGTTTCATTTTTTATCTTTGCTCCAGGTCTATCAGCTGTTTCTTTTCTTGTGGCATTGGCCGTCGTAGTTTTCATTTTAATTATAGTTGGTGTTGTGGCTTCGGCAATAAAAAGGAGAAACTCTCTTTCATCAACCCGCGTCAAAGTCTATAAAACCAGGCCGGGAATAACAATCAAGGTTTCTCCTGCTACACCAATAGAAAATCGGAGTAAAGCATCGTTACATAATGACACAGTTACAGATAGTAATTTAGTTCTTCCCAAGGAAACGCGGAAATTCCCGTCCTGGATGAAACGCGGATGGGACACTGGTGACAAGAGAATAAGGCGGGAAAACGTGAGCGCCTGCGAGGAACAAACGTGTAGAATGCAGGAAAATAGTGAGCGGAAAAAGGCGAGAAAATCAAAGAGGATGGCACTGGACAAGAATTAAGAGCTGTTGAGTTTATTTTAATGGAAGGATTGAAACGGCGTAAACGGGAAACATAGGGTGTATTTGATGTTTCACAGATAATTGTTTCATGCTATAATGAATGTTTATTTTCTGCTACAAGAGGGTCAGAATAACGTTCAAGGAGCCTTCAACTGCCCTGTATTTTTGTCACAGCATTTTCACAGACAAGTCAATTTTTAGTTTGAATTTACCGTGAACTAAGACTCTCCACGAGAGCACATCGACCAATCAAGATTAGCGCGTGGTTAATTTCTAACTTTACTTGTTAAAATATCGAAGGAAAAACAGCAGAGAGAGGCAAGGCTTCTTGCGATAGTTCGAGTACAGATTCGTGTGAACAAAGGCGTCTCAAGCAAACGATCAATTCATGAAACATGTTTTGTGAGTCGGTGTTAAGTAGTGGGCTCCTGATTCAAACTGAAAAGTTTTTTCTGCTTCACGCGCACGGTAACCAGTGTAAAATTAGAGGCACTAGACAGGAGTGTTCAGAGTGATTGTCCACATGGTTGCCACGTGAACTTTAATATATTTTACGTTGTAAAATTATTTTAAATATGAATAATACACGGTATTTTTTTATGGGGTGGGGGTTGGGGGGAAAGGGGAATCATCAAAATATTACAGAGCCTGAGGGGGGCATCACTACCAAAATCCTCCCTTTCCCAACCCCCCCTTCCGGCCTTATACTAATGACAAGTCCCCGATACGCATTCATTTCAGACAGCGGTAGTGCCGTGAATGTCAAAATCTTTTACCTTCTGGTTTGAAGATGAAATATCTAAAGGAATCTGTCCTGTCACTGGTGAACGAGATGTTAATTTTCCTTGCGGTTATGTCAATGCATGAACAATTGATTGTTCGTAAAAATCTGTCAGCATTTTTTCTCGCCTGTCCTGTTTAAACACATTGCCCATGGAGACCAAATGTCGGACTTTCCCCTTAACTAATCAGAATTGATATGTAATATACTTTTCATCCGAAAAGGGCTTCCAATCCAACCGGTCGCTTCTCAGGGATGTAGCTTTCGGCAAAATGTTATCCACCGATATCCAAGAAACCATTCATTCGAATCTTCAGCAGGTCCGTTGCCCTCTTTCATCGGAAGAGTGACCACAGAAATGTCAGCACTCCAAACGGCGTTTCGAGGTGAATTAAATATGTTTATTTTAGGTTAAGACAGCAAAAACACGCGAGAACAATTATTGTGGGAATGTTTCAGATTCCCTAGATTGCTCAGTGTTCCTTTGCCACAAGGATTTTATTGCACAGTTTTCGCCGAAAGCTCCAGAAGGCAACATTACCAGGCACGCCCAGGAAAGACATGTAGACAGAATGGATGGATCTCTGAAACGATTATGAATTCCCATGAGAAGACTAAACAGTCCCCTCACAAAAATGAGATGTTTAGTTGAAACGTTTGTTTTAAGAAGCTTGGATGTATAAGTTCGGCATGTTTAAGTTTATTCTCCTCGCCATTAGCTACAAAATTCAATCAGATAATCCTTGAAAATTAAAGAGCTTTGATCGCAAAAACCCAATGACCCAACCGCAAAATATTCGCCGTAAGACCCTAGATCGATAACAGAGAAAAATTCGATGAAAAACTTTTACTTGTAAATTGAGGTCAAAAACCGAATCATTTTTTGTATCGCCTCTCAACTTATCGTTTGGTCGGAAATCGAAACTGAAAAAATATTTTACAGATGGGTGATTGATCAATCAGAGGTGTGTGTTTTCCTAAAAACTCCTTAAAAATCCTGAATTTCGAAAAAAGTCATGTTTACTTTGGAGCCCTACTTTGTAAACATCAACTTGAACATAATCACACCCTTACACTTGTCTGGCGCTCGGTGGTGGTCTGGCAACAATCTGACCTTGATTTGTTTGTCTTGGTAAAGCAGTTATTTTTAAGACTTCATTTACGTTTTGGCCGACATGGATGAGTATCGAGTTTCCGTGACCTTCTGTGTCACCTCAAGTCTGTGAAAGCACAACATTGGTGCCATATGATTTTTACGGAGTCTTCAAAACCGCAGTTCTCCAAGAATAACTAATTCCTTGGCAATGGATTCTTCTTTCTCTCTTGTTCTCCTGGCGATCGTTTTACGTAAGTACTTCAAGCTGTTGAGAATTTTACTTCGTTTTGAGTGTGACGTGACTTAAACTTGCACCGTTCTCAGAGTATAAAAGTTCCTTCAGTCTGACATAATTTCTAATCTGCTGAGACCGGTTAGAAGCCATTCTTTGTCGCTCAACCGAGACCCGTTTCATTGTTGCGAGTAACCGCACACTTTGTGCTGCCTAGTTAAGCTAATGTTCTTGGTATTTTCGTGGGCAAACAAAGGATTTAGACACAACGGCGCACTAATTTCGTTTCAATGCCCGGCTGTCTTTGAATATGAAGACAGAACAGAGAAACCAGTGTGTTGTCAGCTTCCTTTTTAAACCGAACTCAAGTGTCACTTCTCAGTCAAACCAAGGCGAGCATTTTCTCGAGTTCGGCTGGGGCATTTGTGATATTATGTAACTCGCCTCGTGATTGAACGAGTAGAATCCTCCTAGTCGTTCATAGCTTATGTGATAATTTGTGGTCTACAAATGTTTCAAAGGGATTCGAGACAGGAAACAACGCAGATTATTAGCTCATTTCCCCCAAAGTGGCTCACTTGCGTGCGATCGCCGAACGTATAAACAAATACAGCCTCTCAACAAAATAAAATTGGCAAGAATGAAGTACACTGAAAGTCACTGGTTAAAACATTTTTTTTTACTTTGGGGAATGTTTCCGCTATGCCATGAACAGTATCAAAAAATATCGATAATATTCACCCTTTCTTCGTGGATGTTTGAGGTTTGTAAGGCACTTTTAAAGGTTAAATGTAGTCATTCCTCTGTAATAATCTAAAGACAATCGAGACTCCACTCACTTTAAATTCTGTCAGACTTGACTCATGGTTTATTAAATTTACGTCAAAAAGTCAAAGAAATGTTTTAAACTGACGTTAATATCTCTAACCTTTTGTTAAAATAAGCCAAATAAACTTTAATAGGAATCACTCTGCCGTGTCTACAAAAAAACTTGATCTAGCGCCGGTGAACGGACAGAAATATTATTCTGTCGCATTGGCCGATCCAAGCTGCAAATTATTTTCATATGTTTTTCAATCTAACTCGTTTTAAAACAATAAAACAGGTTGACCAGTTGAAATCGTACTGTTTTGATGACATTCGTCGTGTAAGTAGAATCCAAATTGCTCTTTGTTCCAGTCAAATTTTGGCCTTTTTGGCGCCTAAACGTTAGGTGGTGTCAACAGGAATCATTGAGCTATTTATCATCATATTCATCTCAAAGTTAAGTCGTTAAATGTTTTATTCTAATCCTGATGAAATTTTTGACTCAATAATGAATTAAATGGAGTGGTTATCTCATTATTGAGAAGCAAACTTGATGATGCTATTAATTAAATCGTGGACGTGTGCTAAGTGGCACTGTTATTAATCAATGATCCATCAAAATCTCCAGGCAGGCTTCAGGTTACGCGTTGGCTTAAGTCCAAGGGGTGGAGGGGTAGGGATCCAAACCCAGAAATTGTCTCTCTATTTTCCCGATCACACAGGACATGGTATTTCTTAAAACGAGAATGGTCTGGTCGGTAGGTCTACGGATCTGAACCAAATCTTGGGATCTTAAAGTAAAGAATACTACAACGTTGTTGTTGTTGTTTTTGTCCTTTTTTTTCGGGGGGGGGGGGGGGGTAAACCTGTAACTACCAGCGCTTTTGAGAAACGGGGCCTTTGATTACCAAATTACTCGCTGACATCGCTGGGGAATAAAGGAGGGACCGGGGAGTTCAGATTCCCCCCCCCCCTCTTCCAACAAACCTTAGATTTTACTACTTGTCTGAATCTGAAGTTCTTCAAACAACAGATTGCATAATACTCTTTAACTTTAAGCATTGAAGATTAACTTCTCTTGGATCTGGTGAAAAAAAGAAAAAAAGATAAGAGAACTTTGTTATTCTGAATGAAAGTTTGGAATAGTGAAAAATTGTTTTGCTTTTGCCATAATTTTCCTGAGGAATCCTCATTTTGTGGTGTAAGTTTTTTCAAAACATTGAACTGGGGAATGACGACCTCTTTTATCGTTCAGATCAAAATGTAACCACTTTATCTATAGAAATACACTCAAACTAACATTTACAAAAATTAGAATACCATCGATTTCTTTTTCATGATGTAATTTCCAAGCAAGAGTTAGTGAACTGAGCTCATGGTCTCTGGTTCCAAGTTCGTAATCTTACTAGGACTCTTTTTCTCAACAAATTTCTCTCATATTTTCAGTGAAGAAGAGTACTGAAGGCTGCTCGCCGAACCGCACAACGGACGAGAATGATAGAACTGAGATCAGTGAACAGAGAGGTGAGCTTTCGAGCCCAGGATATCCTGAATCCTTCATGGATGACATCCAATGCACTTGGTACATTTCCGTCAAGAAGAGACACTCTATCAATCTCGAATTTGAGTTCTTTGATCTGGGAGATTCCCCTCCGTGTTTATCCAATCAGGAGGTTCCTTATTTAGAGGTGCGTGACGGAGTCCACCGTGACAGTAAGCGGCTCGGTTTGTTCTGTGGCCACGCAACACCTGAGAAGATCTCTACCACTAGCAACGAAATGTGGGTGAGATTTAAGGCAAACCCGTACAGATCTGTGAGGTTCAAAGCGAAATATATAGCTGTTAAAGGTAAGTCTAGTTTATACAAAAGGTGTTGTTCCAGAAGAGATGGGAATAAATTCCCATTCCTGACGCAAAGGGTAACTTATTTCAGACCACAGTTTTAGTTTCAAAAGTGTGTTATAGTTAAAGACGTCATAAATGTCTTTGGGAAATGAAAGCGCTGTTTCAATTATGGATACTTCAAAGGTGGACCTCCACCTCTCCGGATGTTGTTATAAGAGCTTTGCTTGTGCTCCCTTCAGCATTACAGCATTACAAACGAAAGCTGCGTTGAATAACCATCAAAGGAATAAGCCATTTTACAATTGTGTACTTAATTGCCAAGCCTTTGATTTGGAGTGAGGCTAAAGGTGACCATGTCGTGATAGAGATCAGTATCTAATAAGCATGATAACAAAGTAATTTACATCTGAAAAGCAGCAAGGTTTGTATCATAACAAGGTCACCCTTAACCTCACTCCTGTTCAAAGGCTTGGCAACCAAGCACGCAGTAAAATGGACTATTATTACACTGCTGTCGGGCTCTCGACTGTCGTACGCGCTGGGATATTGTTCTGCGCATTGAAGGAGTAAAAACAAGAAACCATAAAAATTTCATCTTCGTCATGACAAATTTGTAATGCACTGGCGTTTCGAGTGATCGAAAACTGAAGATTCCAGCCCAGTAACACAACAAGTTAAATTTCATTACGGAGTCGTGCGCCCGGCAAAAGGTGCCCAACGCGCCTATGGAACTGTGCATATATAGTGAGACATAACAAAAATATCCTGAAAATTATGTCACTAAAGGTGTTTTCGTTTTCCAATGATAAACTAAACCTCCTGGAAATCGTTTTTAAATGTGCTAAAAATTCGACTATGAAAGTCGCCATTTTGAGATCCTGCTTCGCAGCCTGGCCACTTACCTTTGACGTCACACGGAGAGATTTGTATGGTTTCTGGAGTATAATTCACCTTTGAATCTTATTGTTAATGCTGCTTCGTGCTTTGATTAAGTCCCTAATACCCCCATAATATTGATTTCAGAGCCTTTTGTCACTATTTGCATGATTTGTAGTCGAAGAGGCCAGACGACTCGCTAAGTCAAAGTTTTACAACGAGGAAACATTTCGAATTTACTGATTTATTTCTGTTTGTTTTTCTAACTCAGACTCTCCTCCTTTGATACTGGTCATCACAGGTGTGTCAACTATGCTTGGTTTGATGATGATTTTGTTAATATTAACTCTTTACCTTAAACGAAAACAAAGAAATTCGGACGAAGAAAATACTTTGACACCTGGTTGTGAAAACCAAGAAAACGAGCAGAACTGCACAGGTGGCACGGCTTCCTCATCCGGGGAACACATAGACCTTCAGTTCTCTCCTGTAATGGAGAATTCAGACACACGTAAGGAGTCATTATCAGAGCAGGAATTGCTCACATCGCAATGGACGTCGTGTGACAGAAATGAGAGGAAACAATCGCAGTCACACGGCACTTTTTCGCGGGAAAATCTCACGCCTGTTGCGGAGTAAACGATAAAGCGGACCAATTAAAAATCGCCAATAACAAATTACGGTCGGCTTCCCAATGCCACAAGCAGGTTAAAAAATTTAGGATTATATATCTTGCAAGCAATTAGTAATACGCTCAGTTAGTGGGTTCAGGAGCACAAATCTTTCCCATCCAAACAACGCTTAATTTCTTCTGGCTGGAGCGCAAAGAACACTCATAAAGACTTTCTTGATTATGGTTAATGCAAACGATCTCGTACAAAGGAATATCGTTCTTCGATGCAGATAACGATTGAGACATTTTTAAATCTGTCTGCACCAAAATACCGCGCGCTTATCTTGAATCAAACAGGAGGTGTGAACTGCCAAAAACCAGTATTTGAAACTGAGGGAAAATTTTCCTCTCAAAATAACTCGCACTCATAAAAGGACTGGCTTACCCTGAAACGACAAATGAGTACATTTGTAGTTTGAATAACCTGAAATTGGTTGCATATTTTGTTGTAAATATTTTCTGTAAATATATATGATACGGGAGTCGCACTATCCAAAGCGGCTCGCAGATAGTTGCATATTATTATTCATTATAATAAAGCAAATTTTTCTCTCCCGATCCAGACAATGTAGTTTTAAAGAATCTCACTGAAAAAAATAAATGGATAATTGCATGTTTTTAGCCGGCGCACTGAGCTGGCCGCGTGGGAGGGTAGCGGAGACATTAAATATATTAGTATGAATGCACGGAAATCCGTCAAAAGACGAAGCTGTCACGCGCTGGACGAAGTCGTCAAAACCGCATCAGATGTTTGTTCTACCTAAATTAAATTGCGCGATGGCTTAGCGTTTTGGTCGGGGAAAAGAGAGTTGGGTCCTCCTTAAAGAGGTCCTTAAAAAGATTATTGAACTTTTTACACAAGATAACATAGTCTATAGCGAGCTTTATCTTTTAAATATTCTTTGGCGCCTTTTGTATATTTTATATTTATAAACTATATCGCATTCTCTGCAAATGAGAGGTCCCCCCTTCCCCTCCCTCCTGGGGAGAGCTTTTAGAAGAAAGTTATTTACTACAATCGAGTCGCTTTTCTTTTAACAATAGGGGTACAAAGCAACGCAAGTTTACTGGTTATGTTGTTATTTTGTAATGAACTAACAATAGAACTGAAGTGGCTTTAGTGATCTTAATAAGCGTCAAATATACGGAACACGAACAAAAAGATTATTCAAAATATGTAAAACACGCACCGAGTGCTTGAAAAATTGATGACGCGGAACGCGTTAATACTAAAGATGCGTGATTGATATTTTGAGAAGCTCCTGATTGAAACCGTGATCCTATCGTTGTTTGCCCAACGATGAAAACCAAAACAGTTGTAAATTTCCTGGCCTCTTTATGCGGTGAGTGCTTTATTATTACATTGGACACCGTAGTGCTCTGCGTACAACACAGGATTGCTACTTGTTTGACCGTGGCCAAAGTGTAAACAATCACACAAGTCACAGTCTTAATATATCGACGTAAAGTACAGAATATAAATACCCTGATACCCAAGGCCTGTTCTAAAACTTTTAAAACTGGTTGAGCAAGAAGAGAAATCTTTACCGAAACTTTTCAGAATATGGGCCAGTTCCCTCGGCTAATACACAGAAGAAGCAGTCAACATTTGTGAAGATTCCGGCAAGCTTAGTTGTTATTCACTCCAGTTAAAAATAGTACGTTCCAGCTTCGTTCCAGATTTCGATTAGCAGAAGATTGGCAATCCTTTTTCACCGACACATTCGATTTACGATTTCCCACTTTGAATTCATTAACGCTTTGCTATCGATAAGCAATTTCTTCACCTATTGAATGAGTAATTTCGTAGTAATTTCTATAAGCAATTTAACTGCAATCGAGAGAATACAGTTATATCCACGTTTTATTAAGACCCAAAGAGGTTTTTCGGTTTCTTTCATGTCGCGGTTTAATCAGTTTAATATCTTCGAGTGTTGTCGTCAAGGTTCTCATTATATTTTTCACTCGAAAAAGCCATGGGGGTAATTGTACGCACTTCCGCGAAAACTTTGAAGTTGTGCAACACTTGGTAAAAATAAATATTTCGTGGAAGTGCTAAATTGACGTCATAAAATACTGTAAAACAAAAAGGTTTTCAATTAAATTTTACCCTGAAATGTGCGACATTAACAAATTCATACTAATAGATAGCCAAATTCCGGTTTGAATATTCACTCGACTAATTTCACTTGTCTTTCCTTTCCATTGTTGTTTGGGCAAGGAAAGTACATTTAGATAAATGAGTACTTATTTTAATTTTGTAGTTGGGAAAGAGGTGAGGTGTTAAGTGGCGAAAGTTGGCGGACTTCTCCAATAAGTACCAGCAGAACCCTTACCGTCTAATTCACTGAATATGCAAATTATCATCCTTTCTTCATCGCCTTCATTACACGTTATTGATAAGAATTTGATGTTTACCGCGTGTTAAGATCGCCAAGAGTAACCTACCTGGCTGTGCGAAAAATTTAACTTTGGAGGCCGCCATTTTGAAATCAACTGCTTGATGTAAAAGAGAAAAAGAACAAACAAAAATTTATAATCTTGATCAGACATGCCTTTTTGCAAGGCTGACAATTGTTCGAAAAATTTCTCTTTAGACGGAAGAAAGAGGATCGAGACTATTTCGTCACGGATAAGTAGCCAGGCCGTTTAGCAAGATTCAATATGGCGGCGTCTGTCAACGAAATTCAGGCGCTTTTGAAGGCAAATTTCGAAAGGTTGGATGCTCTCTGAGAGCTAAAACCGCAGTCAGTGTCACAACTTCGAACATCGCTTTTGGATATAAAAAATAACATGGTTTCAGCAGCATGTTGTATACTTTCAACTTGAATCTAAACTCATATTGGCTATACTAACCTACTGATCTACTCTCTAAAATAACGAGTAAGAATTTTGTTTTGCTCTAGAAATGGAATGTGTTTATTATTTTTTCACACAGCTTTCATTGTAATCTTGCAAACAACAAGTTCTTCAGGTAAGTGCAGGTTTATGAACTACCATAAAGTTGTCTTTTTCAAAGCCGTTTCTTATCAATTATGTACAGCACCTTGAGTATCTGATAATTCATTTCCGTTTTCCATCTCTAGCACAACGAAAGAGTTGCAGCCGTTTTAAGAGCAATATCACATTCAACGCAAATGGCTCATCAATGATCTTCCAAAGCCCCTCTTATCCGAGCCGATACATTGTGAATCTCAACTGCACCTACCTGTTTAAGGCCCCAGAGGGCTATAGGATTGAGTTGTCCTTCGATTCCTTTCAATTAGAGGGTGCATTTCCGCAATGTGGGAGTGATTACATTGCTGTCAGAGACGGATCAAGCGGGGAGAGTCCGTTGATCGGCAAGTTCTGTGGATCAAACAAGCCAGCTCCAATTATTTCTTCGGAAAATTCACTCTACTTTTTCTTCGTTTCCAATGAAAAAGATCCCTTTGATGGATTCAGTGGATCTTACAGAGTTATTGATGAAGGTACTTCTAAATAGAATAATTTTCAATTGAACGTCGAAAGTAATCAGGTATTGTTTTGGTTTGCATTACTTCGCACTGTGATTTGTCCAGAAAACTCGCGCCACTTTCTCGACCAATCAGATACAAATTTTAGACCAATCACGACTTGGTCGCCCGCGTTTCTCAGCGCTTTAGGCAATTTGGTTGTTTTCACTTAACGTTCCCATTGGTACTTTTTTTTTGTGACACCTAGTCGAACAGCGCTTTATATTTAAGTGCCAGGTGATTTGTCTCTGCATAAAATATGTTCGTGTGGTGTAAAAATTAACATATTTGATTCATCATATGCGCACATTAACGCTGCACAAGTTACCGAGTGATAAGTGCGCATGGTGATAACTCGAAAACCTGGGTTGTTGAATAATCGCTTTCTTAGAATCGAAAAGTAACTTTCTCACTGATCTGAGTAGAAAGAAAAAACCAAACGAGCCAATTAAAAAAGTCAGAACAAGAAAGCAAAACAAACGAATGACGAAATTGAAAGAATAATTGAGTCATTGGTGCGCACAATGCAATCACCAGAAATTCGTAAATATTAATGCTGACTGTATAAGTGATCATCGATTTTACATTATCTCGGAGGTTCCATGGCTCCTGAGGGACTTTATGGACTTCTCGATTTTATTTAAAATTTTCTCCTCAAAGAAACAAACAGTAGGGTTAAAGTACAACCCTGGCTTTGAGTTGAAAACCTTTTTCATATTTTGAAGTTTTTAGTTTTTCTCTGCTCTTCACAGAAAATTCAAACGCCTTTAATCCTTTACACCCTAACATCAGAATGCATATTCTCCAAACTGTTCTTCATAAATTTCCTGAGGTGCTAACAAGGAGAATTTGGTAACAACAACAGCTTCTTTAGTTGTTAATAATTGCATTTATTCCCAGGCTTTCATGTTTGATTCAGGGGTGATAATGTGAGGAGAATTTGGATATAAGTCTCTCTTAGGGTTAACTAGAGGCTTGAATATCTCTCCTAGTTGAGATCGCCAAATGCACCCAAGGAAAAACAATTCCCCCACTTTTCACACGGGGGTACCTCACTTCCCCGACGTTTCCAGGAAAGTATCCGCCAAACAGAGAATGTTCGTGGACTCTCCAGGCCCCAGCCGGCCACTTCATGACATTGGTCTTCCGTGTGTTTCAAACCCAGTGCCCCGACGATAAAGTTGTCATTCGAGATGGCGATCAAAATGGCCAGCTGTTAGGTCAGTTTTGTGGTGAGCGTGAACTACCAGTCTTCCGCGGTCGAAAATTGTGGGTGTCATTCAAATCTGATGGATCATTTGCCTCGGCAGAAAATGGCTTCAATGCTACTTTCGAATCACTACCTTGTAAGTATTCCACTCGTCAGTGAGGGGCGACGAAACTTTCATAATTTGAATAAAGGGGGTAAGTTTTTAACATAAGACTGCGGTGCTGCGTCGATGAGGTATTATAAGATAATTTGGTTCCATCAACTGAGTTGATAGTGTAAATCAGGCACCACAAAGAGTTTGTTGAGCTGACATTTCGAGCGTTAGCCTTTCGTCATTCGCTCTGACAAAAGGTGAACGCTCGAGACAGGAATTTAGGGCAAATATCAACGATTTAAAAAGCAGTTTCCTAAAGATATTTGAAGAGAAACGAGCTTTGATATTTTATTGATAAGAAATTAAAATTTTCAAGAGCCAACGAAAACAAGCTTCTGCATCCTATACCATTAACTTTTGATTCTGTCTTAACGTATCTTTTATGTCTTGGTGTTATTATGACTACCTTGATTTTTTTTTTCTCAACTAAAAATTTCCAATCCGTGAAGGTCTCTTTATTTTCAAACAATTCCTTGAGTCCAACGACTTTATTAAAGGTAATTATTTTGCCTGTATTCATTTCTTCCTCGCGGCTCAGTTAACGTGAGTTCAAATCTCTTTATCAGAAATGTTTCACCATAAATGTTTTCACCTTAGAGTAAAGATTGATTATGCAGTCTGATCGAGCGCGGAGAAGTCCTGATTGGGACTGTTATTGGTGATTGTGGCTCACGTTTCGACAACCTGAGCGAAATTCTTCATCAGAGTGAATATATCAACTGTTGAAACTTGACAACAGTCAACAGTCGCCTTCAAACTGCTCTCGCCCGAATGACAGGGTGTGTGCCTTTTTCGCAGTCCTGGTCAATTTTTTTCGCACAGGGGGGAAGGAGTTGGAGAATTTTGGATGTAACACGATAAAATTTACCTTATTCCCCCCTCCCCTCCCCTCCCCCAAGACTCTATGGATATTCTTATGATTCCCCCGGTCAGTTTTCTATAGTCCTCCACTTGGACTCTGTTGACGACGACTGATCTCCCCTCCGTTCCCCCCTGAAAACCATGTGATTCTCCCCAAAATCCTCCACCTTCCCCTCCTCATCGCTAAATCATAACTGGTCCTTAATTGAGTTATCTTTTTGATGTTTTGCAGTTAAAGGCCAGATTACCGACCACTGCACTGGAGGAAAAGACCAAATAATCAACGCTTCTGTTCCAGGTACCATTTCTTCCCCGTGGATACCCGGACTGTATCCTAACAACATGGACTGCACTTGGAAACTTCAGGCCCCTGAAGGAAAGAGAGTGAATCTGAAATTTGATAAATTTGAGTTGGCAAAACCTTGCGGCGCAGACTTTGTTGAAGTTAGTGACGTCACTGCAGACGATACCCGCTCAAGGAGTAAATACTGCGGAAATTTTCCGGACACCACGTCGGCCGGTGAAGAAGTTGACGTGCGATTTGTTTCCAATTCTCAAGGACGCGAGAAAGGATTTGTCATAAAATATGAGGCTGTTAATAGAGGTAAGAATTTAGAGATCAACGAAGGTATTTATTTGTGTAAAACTTTCCGGCGGTGAGTACAAGAGCGAAATAAACTAAGGAAGGTTAGGTCCGTACTCGGGCCGAGTGGCCCATCCAGCCAAGGCTTGTCCAGGTTTCTATGGCATGAAGCGCTGGACTAGGAGTATCACCACTCCCCCCTGGATGGGATCCTTGTCTAACGCAAGGTTACTCTCTCCTCCCCCCCAACGCTTTTCATTAGGCTTCCCTTTACCCGTTAACTCTTTAACTCCCAAGATCTCATTAGTAATTCTCCTTACTGTCTGCCATATAGTTCTTATGATGTTAGTTTAGAGAATTTGGTATTGGATTAACCAAAAATCCCCTAGTTCATATTTTTCTATATTCTCATCACTCGTCTGCTTGATATTGTGTTTATATTGTAAGGAGAAATTCTGTCTTTGTCACTCATGGGAGATAAAGGGTTAATACATCCGGGTGGGGAGAGGCACGGTAAGAATGAAGTGTCTTGCCTAAAAACACAACACACTGAGCCGGCCAGCGCACAAATAATTTGGCCAGCGGGCCTCCCACACCAGGGCGAGGTCGTGTTGTAATATGATTTTCATCTTAAAAGTGTCTCAACGTAGACGCCATCTTTCAAATTCGACATTTCTCGAATGGGTCGGATTGCAGAAAGAGCGAGGATCAGGAGTGTACTAAAGCAAGCGTCATGATAATTTGAATCATTAATTCTTGGTTTCTAAATGCAAGCTTGAGCTGTTAGAATCACAAGTTCGTTTCGTAAGATCGTTCGCCAAGCTAAGCCGTTTTTTACTGAACGGCCAGCCGAATCCAAAAGATTATCAGAATTAAAGTCTCCCCCCCTCAGCTTAAGTTGAACGCAGCGATAAAATTATATATTTAATATCATACTATAAGTTACAGAACTTTGTTTTTTCCGCTCGGATTTATGGCCTGCGCCCTTTACACCTGAGCTCTAATTTGTTGTTTCAAGTAAGTCTTTGTCTTGAAAGCCGCGACTTATGTGAATCAAGTTATGCTTCTGAGAGACCGAGCTCCATTTGGCGTTATTGAGTTCAAGATCGTTATGTTCCTCGCATCAACGGCCGTCATATCCCTGGGTTCCCCTGTAATGATATAGCTCCATCAATAATCCCGACGGGTAAATCCCGACCTACGTAATTCTAAAATCTGCCTTTTTGCTTCAGGATTTCAATTGGCCTCTTCAATAATAGGATGCTTTGGACTCTACGCCTTCTCAGTTTTAACGCAAGTTTATTTTAGAATTTGATGAATAAGGACCAACATCGATGTTAAAATGCTTCAATGACGTCTTCACCGGTGTTATATCTATAAACACAACCTTCTTCCCAATATTCTCTCTCAATTGGCTTCTGCGGTATCAAGTTGTTCTCCTACGAAACTTTTTGTTGTTTAGTAAAGAACTAAGGGTCTCCTTACAGTAAGAGAAGGCAGACTAATAAAATTACTAAAAACTGGTCGTTATTTAGCGCTTGTGTGTGTGTGCGTGGTGGCGGCGGAGGATTTTGTTGTGTCTCGGTAAACTTTCATTTTCATTGACAGTTAATTTTCAGTCAGTTTTCTACAGAACCCTCCCCCCACCCCCCTATCATAAGCTCAAGTTGTTTACAAACTTGTCGCCTGTAAACGAGATTAAGATAAATGAGCAAACTTATATTTCAAATAAGATTACAAAAAGAGGAAAAGCCATTTTAAAGTTTGCGATTTGTAAATTTGTAACAATTAGACATTGTACTTACCGTCTTTCAGCCGCCATTTTGCAAATGTTGCAAATTGCTAGTGTTTACTAGTGCCAGTCCATTCCGAAGTGACGTGAGCTCACGCGAAGCTAAAGTAGTATAGTTCACGCTATTTTACGTGAAAGGGAAAGCTGACGTTTGCCGTTTCACGCAGACGCGTCGCTAAATCTCTCTAATAGATCACCGTAGACGTCATAATATGGTAGGAACATCAGTGACATACTTAGCTGTGCCTTTTTAGCACTTTGACGTTGTTGCACTTTTAAGATGTTGTTTTCATCGCATAGATCAACAATCAAAAATTTAATTTGAGACCATAGGGTTAGTTTATTCTTGTTAAGTATCGTATGTTATTCCTACTTAGGTGATTCAAATTTGCAAGTAGCGAATCAGAAGTCATGTCTACTCTCCTGATATCACACAATCTCCAGTGAATCACTTGATATCACCTTTTGGAAGGAGATTTTTTCCTAAATAAATATCTCAAACTAATATTTGCTGGAGTTTTCTGGTGCAAAAAATAAGAATGTACCTTAAAAATGTGCAGACTAGGAGCCCAGTTACATGAGAGGTATTTTCGAGTTCTTTGTAAGTTATTTTTTTTCTCTCTCACTGCGGTGATTGAGAGCGGGAAGATTGCTGTTGTAACCAAGTTTTAGCGAGGATTTCTTCAGCATTTTCAAGTGTCTGCAAGGCTGTTGACGCCTTTGCAAGACATTAATATCAGGCAGCCATTCGACAGTCACAATATGTCGACCAAATCAATTGACACATAGTGTTCTTGTGGCCTATGGATGAATGAAACAACCTCTAGAATCAGAGAAGCTTTAAAGGAACATTGGCCCTCAGGTGAGAGAAGAGTTAAACGCAAGGAAGTAAGGAAATAAGGGTAATTAAAATCCTTTCGAGAATATTGCGACCCCAATGGGAATGTCACAACTTCTTTGACGATAACAGTTGCAGCTATACTTTAGAAGATTCTTCCTGTAAAGGGACACCTTCTACCTTGTCGTCAAAAGTTCCTTGAACAACTCTATCTTCATCGCTCTTGCAGCAGCTGCCGTACTTTATGCAGGCTCCAGTGATTCCAAATACAGCTGCCAGTGCACCGACGCAAATTCCCACGATTTTTAAAATGGCTCCAGTTGACTCTGCATGGGGAGAAAATAATCAAAGTTTACTTTGTTCCTTGTACAAGTTAGCCAGGGTCGACAAACACCAAAGAGACAAGAATAAAAAAAACGGGAACTAGAGTGTTACAGAATGGAGAAGATTGTGTCCCCTTTCAAAAGTGGAAATTAAGTTTGTTGTTCTAATGTTTATTTTGATCAGCAGTTACGTAAATTAGCCAATGTTTCAAAAAGTAGCACAATAACTGACCCTCTATAGCTACTGTTGTTGATTGCCTTTCTGATGCTGCTCGCCAAGGTTTCAAAACCCTGTCCAAGTCTAATTGGGCATCCCCTCCCAGCTAAGTGATGATTTCTGAGAGGAACGTCCAATGTCGCATCAAAACATCGCATTGACACCTACAAACATTTGCACTCACTTTTTGTTTCAAAAGTTGCCCTGAAACCGGGATATTTCGTCTTTCCGCTGGACCTGAACGCCACGCGAAGCTCCCAGTCATCCGAAGTAATTGCTGAAGGTTTCTGTGATCCACAATACTTTCCTACCAAATCACTGGTGTCAAACTGGCCGTCACGTACCTCCACATAATCTTCAGAACATTCGTCGGACTGAGACAGATTAAAGGAGTCGAAGGATAGCTTAATGTTGTTATCACTGTCCACGCGAATGATCCAAACACACTCGGCAGAGTCATCGTAAGGAAGAGGGTAGTTATAGCTGGCCAGACTTCCTGTTTCTGACGTAAAAGTGACGCGTTGGTTACTTGCAGTGCAAGCGAAAGGGGCTGGTACTGAAAAGAAGGGAAGAAATAACATTTATTATACAAATATTGATGAATATCAGATTTAATCCTGTTTCACGGAAACTATATCTTCACCTCGCGCAGTTAATGTACCATTCATATGAAATGATAAAATTGTAGATATGTTGGGGAGTAAATAATCACTACCTTGATTCACAGCCTCGAATTCAGCATAGAAGCTCGCTCCAATACGGTTTTGAACAGCAACGAACTGAACCCAAAGATGACTAGAGCTGGAAAACACTGAGCTCTCAAAGGATATGCTGCAAAAAGACTTAAGTAAATCACTCCTTGAACTTCGGCCGTCGCGAATAGTGAGGATGGACTCCGAACAATCGCGAAAATCGAAAGACTTTATTCTCAGCTTGACAAAATGTCTCTCAGGAACTGTTATTATCCAGGTGCACGTAATGCTGTCGATAAATTTACGCGGATAAACAGGCGAAAAGATAATTCCTTTTTCTCCAGTCAGAGGAATCACGTTGTCTTGAAAGGGGTTCTTGCATGGTCCCATTGCGGCTTAGAAAAAAGGAAAAAGAGAAGAGAAAAGAAATATATATATATTTAACAAAGGGAATGACAGTTGAAACTATCTGTCTCATCGTTTCGTCATCATCAAGTTCAAAATAAATAAAAGTGCAGCGACTCAGCACCTTAAATTTTTCCATACTTACGATCAGGAAGTATTTGGTAACTTGCATGGAATCCTGGGTATTTTCCGGAGCTGTCGCTCACAAAGTCCACGTACATATTTGAGTCATTCACCAGAATGGCATCAGGGAGCGAGGAGCCACAGAATTTTCCAACCAGAGTCCTCCAAAAGTAAGATCCTTGTTCGATCTTCACATAATCGCTTTCACAATCTTCAGATTGTTGTAAGTCAAAGAATTGAAACGTCAAACGGATCACGTGACCAGCCTGCCGTTCAATTTCCCACAAGCACTTGACGTCGTTGGAATAAGGCAGCGGATAATTGTAGCTGGCGAATTCGCCAGCGAAGTCTTTCATTTCAATACGTCTTGATTCATATCTAGTTATCTGACCGGAGTAATTACCTGGGATTGCTTGAATGGACTGATATGTGGCGAAAAAACCACCAGAATACTTTTTGGAAGAGAGTGATGTATACTCCACCTTTAATTTGTTGCCTCGCGAGTATACTACGTCGGAGTATTTTGTGCAAAACTTTCCTAGGGAAATCCGAGTGGAATTTGTTTCATCAAAGACTTTTATAAAGTTCTGAGCGCATATTCCCTTAATATTCCGAAATGTAAGCTTTATGAACTCGCCGGAGTTCACTATGACGTTCCAAGTACAAGTTCCTTGTTCCACAATGAAAGGATACCCTGGCGTTGAGAAGCTTCGCCCTTCACCAGTCATATTCACCACTGAGTTCTTTCCCAAAACGCAGGCTCCCGATGTCACTGAAAAAGGTAACCACGCTTTCTTTCTAGCTCAGATAATCTTTTAACTCCTATTAGTGACCAAGACATAATTTCTCCTTAAAATATCGATACACTACAAAGCAGGAAAGTGATGATAATAACATGAAATATAAACTAGGGGTTTATTAATAGTTGATTCAATACCAAATTCTCAGAACTAACGTTATGAGAATTGTATGGCAGAGAGTAAGGAGAATTACCGATGAGATCTTGGGAAGGAAAGGGTTAAAAAAACTACAAGGGCTCTCTGATTGGTGGGCCTCTTTATTGATGGAATAACTCAAGGAAAGACTCATCTCCTGCTTGACTGACTGACTTTCTAACTTATTCATTAAGACTTTGACAAATTACGACTAATTGGGAAAACGATTGAGCGACTAACGAGCTGACTGAAATGGCTGATTAACAGACCGATTGGCCTAATTTAACTCAATAGCCGACGAACAGACTGATAAACAGATTCGGACGGTATGTATAGCCAACAGACTGACTGACTAACTGACTGACTAACTGGCAGATTAGCAAACTGATTAACTAACTCACTAATTGACTGACCCACTGTTTGGCTGGCTGACTAACTCACTGACAGGCTATCAGACTGACTGATTGGCTGACTGTCAGACTGACCCATTGACCTGCATGAAGAGCCAGAGTGATTGGATACCACAGTACATATTTAACTCGGTAGCTGATTGACTGAAAGACTGACAACATGATCACCAATACGATTTTCTTACAAACAAACAGACAGACATATGGACCAAGATTGACTGACGGAAAGACTAACGGACACGTTGTATAACAGACTGACCGACTCACCCGCAGGCACTGCAGTGTAGTCTGCAATGAATCCTGGACCACTCTTTTGATCTGAACGAGCTGTCACCTTTATACTAAGCTCGCGTCCAGTTGAATAGAATTTAAACGATGGTTCTGTGCCAGAAAGTAAAATAGAAATTGGGAGTAACCCATTTATTCTATCAGCGATTTCAGTATAATCGTACTGTCCAAGCCGATAAGATGTGAATTCTATTCGTACCACTTTATCAGTGGGTACGATTATCTTCCAGGAACACTCGTTGATCAGGGAGTTATTATAACCACTTGGATACCCGGGAGTTTCGATTGTTCCTGAAGAATCCTCGAGGAAGATATTCATGTTCTCGTCGTAGGAGTTTCCAAAAGAACAGGTGGTTACTATGGAAAAAATAATCAAATAAAACAAAAAAAAATAGTCATCAAATGATTAATCACACAGCTAGTCAGCCATTAAGTCATTTAGTTGGTCAGTTAGACAATCAGCAAGGTCGGTCATAATTCAGATTATCACAAAAATGGAGGT